AATTAAAAAAAACGGAATTGATGCTAAAGTTATGATCAAAGGGTCAATAACGACGCGAAAGGCAAAGTCTTTGTTTGCCAACTGAAAAGCCCGGGTTCCGAAGTCTGAAAACGTCCCTCGCCCGGCTCCTATGCACAATTCATTTTACATAAGTTATTGTTGGCAGGTCGATGTCCATCTCTGTACTTCCGCTTTTGCTGGCTGGTGGCTTCGCCGGCACTACTGCTGGCGCTGTGGGTGGCCAGCCTGGTTGACTACACACCACCTAGCTACCGCCAGTACCCGTACCCAGCGTGGGCGCAGGTTCTCGGCTGGACAATAGCCTCGCTCTCCTTGCTTTGCATTCCGGTCTACGCGGTCGTCGTCATCGTTAGATCTCCCGGCAACACTTGGAGAGAAGTACGTATCTTTTGTTTAAAAAAGAAGTAATTTAACCCTGGTGTTCCACAGATAAAACACCAGTGATTTTTTTTACTTTTACCACTTTTTTTGTAATGGAAGATGTTTGATGTTTTCTATTGACTGATTATTGTTTGTTATATTAATTTAACATTGTTATAATATGTTTTCAGAAATTCCGAAACTCAATACGGCCGACGTTTATATGCGACTGCGGCATCAACGGTTGTGACATTTGCTGTTCGGACTCGGAGCCGCCTGACGACAAAACAACAATCAACTAGTCCATTATTTACACAATTTATTTTTAGTGTTTAGCTATAATAACATACTCGCTATACATAACTTCTGAGAGAGTACTCACCTTCCCACTTAGCGATATCAAAAGCAAACAAGACAAAAAGATAATAAGACGAGACATTCTTCCATCATAATTATCATTAATTTACAAACAAACGTACTCGACCTAAAATTTATGTTCTTGTAATAGTAACATAGTTTTCTATACTCGAATTCAATGGGTTATAGATATCTGAAGTACAAACAGATCTGTTGATCACGCGGGGGGCTTGTGCTAGTTATGTAATGAACTTGAAGGCCGGCGAATAGAATGTGAACAATATTTTACTATGTAGAATTAGGTATACAAAACTATAGTAATGTCAGATAATCAAGGCGATACAAGGAAAGGACAAAACCGATATCGATACTACGTATTTTAGATTAAGTGCAAATACCAGTGACGATGAAAAACATAGTTTATAATTTATTGTATTGTAAGTTTAACTTACCAATCCTTAGCAACGTTACCATTTAAACTCGCAATTATAATAACTCTTCCAGTGAAAATACCAATAAAAATATTACACTAAGGAATGTTTCCTGAATAAAATGAAAACATGAAATTACGTCGTCAGAAATAAACGATAGTTATATAATAGATTACCTTATTTATTAGTGCAAATTCGTAATTTTATCAAAATACCTGAAAAATGTAACAAAAATAACATTTGAAGTCTATTTTTTTTAATAATGCCCATTTCATTTGTTTCAGAAACAAATTATTTTTACATTTCATTCGTAATTCTCATTAGAAAACTGCCAATTTACATTAAAAAAAATATTAAATATCTGTGATGAAAACATTCCATTACGATTGCGTTTATATACGAATAGTTTTATTAATAGTAAATAGGTATTTATTCTCGTAAACTGCACACATTACTAGGTGTATTTTTAACCTCAGCTGGTATTCCAGCACTTGTGGTTACATAGTATTGTTTTAACTGTGCTGGCTTACTGTGCCAAACTCCTGAAAGATTTGTAAACACAATATATGGGATACCGCACAATGTCATTGGAAAAATAACATCAATGTTGTTTCACATGTGTATTGCCAGAAACAATGTTTAGTTTTTGTTAAATCAATTTATATTTAATTCTTATATATTATTGTTGTTACTTTTACTTGAATACATTGTCTGTGTGACTAAATTTAATCATATTAGTTTGTTCCTTTCAACTATTTGATATTAAAAGTACAGTTACGATTAAAGAAAATATTAACTATATAAAACTACCAATTGAAGATATTTAATCTAGTTAGTGTAAATATTTCGAACATGTAAATACGAAAGTGTGAAACTGATTGGAATCTAAGAATAATAAAGAACTTAAATAATCATAAATGTTTTATTCACCTTTATTGCTTTTGATAATTTTTAAGTGGAAAAATCCACTTTAAAGACGAAATGAAACTATCTTTGTCTCATTCTCTACCTGCACATATACATAATATCCAATAATAATAAATGTAAACTTATTTGTGATTAAATCTATCAAATATTATAAAGCTTTTCCTACATAGCAGTAAATATATTAATAGTATATTATATTGAAATAGTATTAGAACTATTTAAAGCATAGTCAAGGCATTTGTCCACAACTTATTTATACTAAAAGTTACCTTTGTCATATTGTGAAAAAATATAGAATACTTTCCTTTCAACTCATTAATGTAATAAAATGGGATTGGCAGCAGGCCGGGGAATTTTATTTTGGCTAGTTTCAAAAATCATGTTTTTTTAACTTCTTTATTATAACTGTACTGCAACATTCTTTGTCTCAATATGAGTAAGGTACAATTAAAAATATTAATACAACAAACTAGTCTCCTTAAGATGTTTAATCACGTTTTTTTCTTTTTCCTTTTATGATTGAGTGATGCTTTTTCTATTTCTTCTTCATCCTCATTTTCGCTGTTTGAATCTTCAACACCTTCTTCTGGAAATATTAAGATAACAATGACAACCTATGGTATATAATTACAAAGGTTTATACAATTTTTCCTTAACCTTATTTTATATTGAGTTGTTAACAATAAAAATAATATTTTGGGTGTACAATAATTTTGACAAGTAATAATGTAAAATATGATTCATATAAAAATAAGTTCTTATCTCTAAAATCATCCTTTTTCTTAAATTAACGTTTCTTTATTGGTCTTCGTTTAATTTCTTGATTTAAAATTCTATAACAGTTTCAGCTGTAAAAAATATTAAATTCATTAGTTTAGTAAGTCGATTATTTTATAAAAACTTAGTTACCAATATCACCACTTTCTTCTATAAGTTTTGTTAACGCTTCATTAACTTTAAGCCTAAATTCGTCCAACGATTTGTATAAAAGTGCAGGATCAGAAATGGTTTCCTCCAAGACAATATCCATGTTATTATCCTTCTCGGATATGACGAATTTAAGTTTTTGAATCATGTTTTATAAAGAGCACCACATTTACTGTAAAAACAAATTTAACGTGAAATACATAACGTTTCGACCAAGTTTAGACTAGGCAAAAATTGTTCTATAGGTTATGTTTTTCATATTTCAATTTACTTTCAATTTACAAAATTCTGCAAAAGCAAACGAAAACATCTTGCAGCCATTCTAACATGAGCTGTCAAGTTGGTTTTCCTTTAAAAATTAAAGTAAATCTTTAATTTTTGTCATATATTTAATTAAACCACTTATTATTATTTGTAATAGCTGCCTTTGAGTGTAAAAAAATTAACCATTCAGAATACCTACTAGAATGAAATGGAAAATGAATCTATGTTATTTATCAACTTGTCTAAAATCTTTTAAAAAAAGTTAAAGTCAAAATCAGCTGACATTGACAAATGTCAATTACCATTTTGATATACTTTATCACTGATTTTGTAATGTTATACATATATCCACAAACCGAAAGTTACAATCCCAGTCTTAATTTAATGATTCGAAATGTAGTCAACATATAATATGCGAGAATTCGGAAAATTTGGTCCATTAATAGGAACTGTAGATGAAGGAACATCAAATGTGAAATTTTTGGTAAGTGAAACAAAAATATTTGCATTGTTATTAAGAATACATCTTTATAAATTAAATGCGACATTTGAGTTGTATTATATGTTTCAGGTATTTGCAGCTAACACATCTGAAGTATTAACCTATCATCAAGTAACCTTAAAGCGCTTCAGCCCACAAGAAGGATGGATAGAGCAAGATGCTTTAGAAATTTTAAATGCAGTTTTAGAATGTATTGAGGTGAGATAAATATGTTTAAAACTATAATCCTTTGACCAAACTAATACTTAAAGAACTATATACTTTATTATAACTGTATGATTACTATGTTACAGGTAACTGTTGACAATCTTAAAAAATTGGACATTGACCCTGAGGATGTTGTGGGGATTGGGATAACTAATCAAAGGGAAACAACAATAGTATGGAATTCTGTGACAGGGGAACCTCTGTACAGTGCTATAGGTAAAGTAATACAAATTAAAATGTTTTATAACACATCTTTGAAAGAAAAAGTGGTAAAACCATAATTTGTATTTTTTTTTCTTCTATTATTAACATGATTGACATTACATGATTTCAAGCAATATGTTTTTGCGTAATTTTCTTATGTTTCAAGTTATTTATTTAATGTTTCCATTTTGTTTTTATTTAAGATAAAATTATTAACATTTCCAGTGTGGTCAGATGTACGAACAGCAAAGATTGTGGATGATCTAATCAAAACAAAGGGGGCACAAAGTGTCCATGCTGTGGCTCAAACTAGTGGTCTTCCATTGTCTACATATTTTTCATCAGTTAAATTAAAATGGCTACTACAAAATGTCAGTGTTGTACAAAAAGCAGTTGCAGAAGGAGAATGTATGGCAGGAACAGTCGATTCTTGGCTCATTTGGGTAAGATTATTTTTAATTGTTTATCTATACTATTTTTATTATTCATTAAAAAATCCATAGGTCTTATGTAAATTACCAGAAATATGAAAGTATTGAGGGATGTCTCATGACATCAGGTAAATATTTATGCCTACTGATTATAATTCTGTCTATTTTATTATAATCTGTAAAACCACTGAACCTTGTATTTGCAGAATCTGACTGGAGGCAGCAATGGCGGCGTACACGCGACTGACGTCACCAACGCCTCGCGCACGCAGCTTATGTCTTTACGCAGCTTGCAGTGGGATAAGAGACTATTAAGATTTTTTGATATACCAGTACAAATATTACCAAAGATAAAAAGTTCCTCCGAAATATATGGCTACATTTCAACTGGACCTCTCCTTGGAACACCAATAGCTGGGGTAATTTTAATATACTATTTTAAAGTTTATTCTCATTCTCTCCGGTTTAATTAAAATAAAATATGAAATACAAGTGATCAGTCTTAAGTTCATACGAGAAGAATATATTTCATGTCATTCTCTCCGATACTCATAAACTACTATTTAAATAAATGTAGGTTTATAATATTTTATCAATGATTTCAGTGCCTTGGCGATCAACAAGCTGCATTAATTGGACAAAATTGTATGAGATTTGGTCAAGCAAAGTGTACCTTCGGTACAGGATGTTTCTTGTTGTATAACACAGGTACCAGTTTTACCCTTCTATTGTTTTACTTCATTATGAAATTGTCAAAGACATCCTCCAGTATTATCATAGTGTTAGATATTTCCACAAATGACTTCCTTTAAATTATAGACGGATGGCCATATAAACAATACTTGTAAAATATTTTAAAACACACAAACTGAACTCCAATATGACAACGCATATATATAACGTTCCATGCTGACAACTAGGAAAACCCTGAGCTTGTTGGCGACTGAGCGCCGAGACCAACTGAACCCGAGCCACTCATTGCCATGTATTTTATAAATTCCGTTTCCTAATATTTTCCTAACAATAATGTTTTAAACAAAGATAAATGTATTGATAAATAGCACAGATTAACAAATAACTTTTAAGAATACAGAATACATCAAAAATAATTAAAAAGCTAACAATAGTATTATTTAAAATAGTTGTATATCTGGTTTAAAATTTTCATTACTACATATTCTATAGTACACTTTAGGACATGGGACAGGAAGAATAAGAAGATGTATTAGAATACTATAGATAGACAAATGAATTATCTCCCTAATAATGTCTACTATTGCATGATATAAAACCACCACTGTTTAAATTGTGTAATCTATGTTAATATAATTAATAATATAATAATTAATTAATAATTTATGTTAATGTATTAATATAATTTGTTTATAGGAGAGTCCATAGTACACTCACAAAATGGCCTGCTAACGACTGTAGCGTACCAACTAGGTCCAGACGCTCCGCCCACATACGCTCTAGAAGGTTCCGTAGCGGTTGCTGGGGACATGTTGCAGTGGTTGAAAAATGGCTTAGAAATTATAAACGATCTAAGTGATTCAGAGACGCAGGCAGCTGAAGTAAGCGACGACGAAGACAGTTCTATTTGCTTTGTGCCAGCTTTTAATGGGATGTATTCGCCGCACTGGAGAAAAGATGCACGAGGGTAAGTTTTTTATTGATAGATAGGGTAGCTCATAATTTTAACCTTCTTCTTCACTTATGTAACTTTATTTACATCATAGGTCAATCTTCTGAAGTCATCTCATTTTATAAAACGTGTTTTCTTTCGTTTCATGAATTGGTACTATTATCTTATCATCATCATTACCATCACCAGCTGTACGTCCTCAACGAGAGGTTCGGATGCTTTCTTAAGTTAGGAGTAGCAAATTAAAAGACATGTGTGTATCAGCCAACACACAGTAGGCCAGGTTGGTTGATTAAGGCTTAATCACCCCTTAAGGAAGACGCCGAGTTCCTGCGTAGGGACATATAGTGATCTGATGGTGAGATAATATATCTTACTAACTTTCGCCCGCGACTCCGTTCGCGAGGAATTGAAAAAAGAGAATTAGGTATCCTATGTGTTCTTCCGGTCCACGCTCTACGTCTATGCCATTTTTCATTGAGATCAGTTCAGCAGTTTAAGCTACAAATTCTATCAAACATCCATCCATCTAAACTTTCGCACATGTAATATTAGTGGTTAGTATAGCTTGACATTCTTTGTATGTATCAGTGTGATCTGCGGGCTGGGAGCGCGGTCGCGCGGCGCGCACGTGTGCCTGGCGGCGCTGGAGGCGGTGTGCCAGCAGG